AAGGCAACCATAATTTGATTTTTAGTTTTACGGATCCGTTTTACGGATCGACTCTAGAAATTTGCATTGAAAAAAAAAGTCCGGAATTTTTCAAGCCGCTCGTGTCAAACCCGTGTTTTATAATATAGAAAATCATTCAGATAGCTATTCCAGTTAACGCCATTTTTTGCAAAGTTAGATAACTCGTGTTTGTGACCTGGCGGCCATCAACGTTCGAATTTGTTATGTGAAATAAACAATGATACTAAATTGAATATTCTGATCTATCTTTAAGGACAGTTGAGAATTAAAGATTACGTAAGTAGCTATTTTGTTTTCCGATATAATCTTATGTTTTAGATAGAAAAAAATTATTTTGATAAGAATATTTTGATGAAAATGTATGTTGAATAGGAAGTGTAGCGGTACACTATTTTTCCAGATTGTCTTTACGTTTTTAGTGTTAGCACAAATTTTCAACTTTATAAAGATTTTAAACATTATTTAAGATTTTTTCATGCCTAAACGAAGTCCCCAACATGTAGCACAAAAGTGCATAGACTTTTGTAAAATTTTGTCTTCATCGGGATCGGAGACATAGTTGGTATTTCATTATTTGAAGAAAATAAAGTGCTGACAGCTCAAAATACCTGTAAATATAAGAAAATTTTTACAATTTAAAGTGCATTTCTTAATTTTTCTAACTTGAAAATTATTCAAACGTTAAATTCAGTCATCTATATTTTGCTTAATTTCAATCGCGCTCGAAATACTTCTGATAGTTATCTTCCCTGATTTGCTCTCCTGGGTCACAGACGTTGTCAGTGTTTGGGTATTTTTGGGCATCAGTATTTAGTTTATTGTGTGAAATTCCTTAAAAAGAATGCTTATTCTTTTCATTCTATGGAATTAACTTCCTAGAAATCAAAGATTTGCATTGAAATTCCTCTTTTTAATTTTTAGGTGGATTAGCTATTTCAGATACATAAAAACACGTGTGCAGAACGGTGGACATCGTTGGATTGGTTTCATTGTTTTCAAAAAACCAAACTGCACTTTCAAACAGTTCAGGGATTTATCAGTACCTTTCCAGGGGCCGAAATTCGTCCCCATTCCCAATTGAAAATGAGTTCAGTTTTTTCCCAATTTGGCAGTGTTTTTCCAAATAGGTGAACAATGCTTTTAAAATTAATTATCTTGGAAAAACTCAAAGTAAAATTGTCAGATTGTCTGTAATTTTTCATCTTTTTAACTCATTTAGCAAAGCTAAAGTCATACACATGTATAAAAATACTGTAAAAACATCGCCAACTTTTAATCCGAATTTCCTCCGTTTTTCTGAAAATGGTGATATTGTGTAATTATATAGATTTATTAAGTTATTTCCACTTATTCAATTGATCTATGAATGAATGGTAAGGACTGTAGGCATTATTTTAGATAGAGAAATATATTTTCACTGCATTAATTCATACATGTATTAAAAGAGGACTTTTAGAAAATGTGTACTTGGTATAATTTTTGCAGGAGGTTTATAATCTGCAGAAACAGATTCTATAATGACCTAAATTGGAATCTCATACACACATGTGCTACCCTAAGTTGTATTAATACTTTATACCCAGTCATTGAAGTCAATTTTACTTTTATTAGTCTATTATTCATAATCGATTTTGTATGATGAAGTTGGATAATATTTAATTGTCTGTTTGGTTGCCCAAATTAGAGTTCATGCTGAAATGTTAAATGAAATACACCTGAGTATATGATTTAAGCAACATTTTAATTTTTTCCCAATTCCCCAAAAATGGCGTTTCCAAAAATAGGCTGATAAATCCCTAATTAACAATTCATCAAATGCAAAATAACAGACTGTGTTGGAAAATAGTGTCACAAAAAAAAAAAAAAAAAAAAAAAAAACCAACGTCGCATAACATGACAGTTATATAAAATGCCGTGTAACTTCACAAAATTATGTATCAATAAATAATAAACTGTGAATTTTGTCCTTTTTTTTCGTCCTCCGACTTGACCTTTCTTGAAAAAAAAAAATCCGTAAAACTAAAAATCAAATTATGGTCGCCTAACTAAAGTTTACTACAGTATTTTTTGTACGGGGAGGGGGGGGGGTCTCAGTAATGCCCTATAAAGCAATAAAAATGTATAAATTTATAAGGGTGATGTCAAAAAGGAAGAAATTTGAACATCATTAAAAGTCTTCAATTTTTTAATATTTTAGAGATTTTATATATACATCATTATCAATGAAATTAAAAAAAAAAAAATCATACCAATTCATGTATTTTGTTTTGTTTTGTAGCATGTGTCCTTAAAATCAGTTCTGGTTGAAAATTTGGATTTTCTCTCCTTTAGCATCCAAAAAAAAAAAAAGGGGATTGTGTTGTGACCTGAACCATGGTCAGTTTTATAAAATAGCTTCCAGTCTGTGCACAGAGATTACAAATAGATTACTGAGAGAGAGAGAGAGAGAGAGAGAGAGTCTCAATATTGATATTATACTGCCTGTTTTTTTTAATTATAAAGATATTTACTTACTATATTCTGTATATAGTATCATACATATAAAACATTTTCAATTGAATTGAAATAATCAATGCATATGTTTAATTTATACAAACATCTCAATATATTTCTGAGTAATATTTGTTTTAAATGTTTGTGAGACACTTCTATCTTCTATCATTTTGGCCTAACAGATGGATAGAAGTTTAAAACCCATGGCAACAGGAGAGGTAGGTATTTTAGCGGTATCTTATACATAGAAATGTAGCGGTAATTTAACTTTTTTTTGTAGCGGTAATGACCATTCTGAAAATGTTGTGGAAATGAAATGCACCTATACCATATTAAGTAAACACTTGTTCCAAAACTTCATACTGTATAGACATTTAGTATACAAGCTTGCAATTGGTTAACGTTGATGTTGCAATAGATGAATGAGTCATAAAACATGTATTAAGCAAAAAGCTGTTATATACCCTTTTGTTTATATTGTTCAAAGGTACATACAAGACAAAAGCTGGGTTAATCAACCAACCTTGGAAAAATTTGCATTTCTAATTTCAACATAATGTACATGGAGAAACTGGGGCTCTTGTCTAAGGTGTAAAAAAACACATTTACTGTGTTTCTTAACTTCAGAAGTGCTTTAATAATGAAAACAACGAACTGGTGGGATAAAAAGTAAATGTGTGTAATGTCTAGGGACCTTTCACATGTGGGTGAATTAAACAAAAAATGAATGGACTCATACTTATAAACCTTCACTAAAAATACAGGCAATGTGAAAAAATTTCTTTCACTCAGCATGTACTAATATCACTTGTACAATTTTGATGCAGAAATAAAAAAACCCCAGTTCAATTCAATGGATTTATTTCTCGTATATATAATAGACGTTTACACCTAGAATTCGAATGAAATGGACGTAAGGATTAACTGTAAATAGTCCATGCTATAAATAAGTGACATATGAAGATTATTTATTTATTTCCTCAGTTTGTTGGTTGTCAGTTTAACTTTAGACCGAAAAACTTTCTTAATCGACTTCTCAGCGTCTTTTTTCCTCTTGTTTCCTACAAAATAACAATATCAACCATGTTTCACTAAGTAAATCCGAATAACACGACATGTATTATTTCTGTCGTATCTCTTTGTTCACTCATACATAAAATTTTGTTTAAATACTAATGAGTTTTTTGAAAGAAATTTTAAGTTATTTCATTGCACACAATTTCAGCATTCCTTGCGGGTCAAAATTTGACAGAAATAACTTTTTAATGTGACAAATTTAAAAAGGAATAAAGTCATTTATTTCAGTGAGAGTTATCTCTCTTATCAGAAGGTCGAACATCCTCAAAATTTGTACCTTTTGTGTATGGACTGCAGTCGTACTCTCACTGATACTAGTATGTGCCATTAAACTGTTTTTGATATCCAGTTTACAGTGCCCTGTACATTTATCTTCTTTCTGTTCAATCTAAAATTAGAGATGTTGAGAAAAAATTCATAATACAGTAAAATTTCAAAAATAAAATACCCTAAAACATCAATGAAATGGCTATAAATTCATAAAAAAGAGACTAGATATTTCAGTTTCAAGACGTGCTAACTTTATGTATGCCTCCCACTACTTAATACCTTCTTTATATAGATAATTTCATGCTGTAAGTTACATATATAAATTTCACATTGATAACACCATGCAATATAAACTCTAAGTGGATGATTTGAAATTGTTAATGTGATTCCATTGGATTTATACAGTTTGTGGAATAATAAAACAGACTTTAACAGAAACATATTCATAAAAGTTATTCAATAATAATAAACCTGAACTGTAGTTGTATAGTTGTATGAATTGCATCTTCAACTGAATTAACATTGTACCTTTGAAGGAGTCTTGAAAGTCTCAATATTGAACAAGAACAGTCTTCTTGGGACTAAATGTTCTCTTTCTTTTTCTCTCTTTGAATGCAAACTCTGTAAAAAAGAAAAACACCTTTAATTCTCCATCATTTTATGTGTTGTATAGTATTCTCCTCCTAACAGCTCATAGATTAAAAAAATGAAAAACTTGTATAATTTTTAACTTCTTACCAAAAGCTCCTTGTGGACTTTTTGCAGAAATTGCAGACGACCCATCTTTACTTTCATATGTATCTAGAAAAATAATTCTAAATTTTAATTTGAAATAAACATTTTTAAATAAATTGTTAAACTCAATGCTATTTGATAAAGTATGTTTACATAAATGTTTATCTGATTTTTAAATAAAGACCAGCTCTTTGTGTAGTTTTATTAAATTGTGATGTCTATTTTTCTTTCCTTGAGTTTTGTAAAAAAAAAAAAAATCTCACCGGTGTAATTTAATTTATACTTTTAGAAATCAGTTGAAATTCAGATGTAAAATATTCTACTTATTTTTTCTTCACTTTTTATGTATGTATATCTGCCTGATTTTTTTTCTTACCAGAAGCTCTTCGTGAAGTTTGGACAGCATCTGTTTAACTGTTCTCTTTTCTTTTAGTTTTGTCTGTTAAAAAAATATATAAAAATTAAATTAAAAAAAACTTGACCTGCACAATCAATTAAAAAAATGATACTTTATTAAACATGAATTAAAAATAAAATGTTGTTTACTTACTAGAAGCTCTTTGTGGAGATCTCTCTTGGTCTGTTGATGTGACTCCCTTTCTTTGAACTTTGTCTTAGGGAAAAAATACATTTATGTACAAAAAGGTATTTACAAATGCAAACATATAATGACTTGTACTCTCACGTATATACATGAATTATCATGACTTATTTTTCCCTTACCATTAACTCTTCGTGAATTTTCCTCAGAATCTGTTTAAAATGCTCCTTTTCCTGATGTTTTATCTACAAGAAAATCATATTTTACTTCTAGTAAGATTGCAAAATAATATTTTATGTCATAACTTATTGGCCAAGTCTGAATACATGTATAGTGTTAACCTCTTACCAATAACTCCTCATGGATTTTTTGTAGAGAGTGTCTATGATCCATCTTAATTTGAATACGTGTCTGAAAGAAAAAAATTAATTTGGCATGATCATTTTTTAAAGATTTATTTTTATACTTTTAGAAATCAGTTGAAATTCAGATGAAAAATATTTTATCTATTTTCATCACTTTTAATACATGTATAACTGCCTGATTATTTTTTTCTTACCAGTAACTCTTCATGAAGTTTGGACAGCATCTGTTTAACTGCTTTCTTTTCTTCAAGTTTTGTCTGTGAAAAAAAAAATGTTAAAATTAAAAAAAAAACTTGATTTGCATAATCAAAAAAAAAAAAAAAAAAAAAAAAAAAAAAAAGAAGGATAATTCATTTACCTAAATTAAAAATAAATTGTTGATTACTTACTAGAAGCTCTTTGTGGAGATCTCTCTTGGTCTGTTGATGTGACTCCCTTTCTTTGAACTTTGTCTTAGGGAAAAATACATTTATGTACAAAAAGGTATTTACAAATGCAAATATATAATGACTTGTACTCTTGTATATACATGAATTATCATGACTTATTTTTCCCTTACCAGTAACTCTTTGTGAATTTCCTCCAGAATCTGTTTAAAATGCCCCTTTTCCTGATGTTTTATCTACAAGAAAATCAAATTTTACTTCTAGTAAGATTGCAAAATAATATTTTATGTCATAACTTATTGGCCAAGTCTGAATACATGTATAGCGTTAACCTCTTACCAATAACTCCTCAAGGATTTTTTGTAGAGATTGTCTATGATCTATCTTAATTTGAATACGTGTCTGAAAGAAAAAAATTAATTTGGCATGATCATTTTTTAAAGATTTTTTAAAAACCTCCCTTCCTTTGAATTTTGTCTGGGAGAAAAATGAATATAACTATAATATATTCTGTATTTGCAAAAGCATAAATAAAATATTTTATACTTAAGCGCGAATATCTTTTTTGGGGGGGGGGGGTGCTTACCAGTAGTTCCTTATGCACTTTTTTCAATATCTGTTGACGATGATTCTTTTGCTGAATTTTTATCTGAAAAAAGGTCCAAATTTACTTTTAACATTTATATGTACATTGTACATGCAATTGTTGTTAAGTTAAGGTGTTGAAGTATATTACCAAAGATACGAATCATTTAAATTTGTATCTTACCAGTAGCTCTTTGTGGACTTTTCTGAGTATATCATGATGGTTTTTCTTTTCTTTGATTTTATTCTAGAAAAAAGTAAACATTTATCTATATAGGAGTCAAAAATAAAATTATCAAAAATCAACATCTCAGACCCCCCCCCCCCCCCCCGAAATTCTCCTGTTCTGTATATGGTATGTTAAATTAATTTAATTTCTTACCTGCACTTGCTCAAGAATTCTTTTCATCAGGTCTTGTCTTTTATTTTCCTCCTGTAATTAACCAATATTTAGTTGTAAAATGAATGTTTTTTCCTCATTAACACAATTTACAAATATCACAAAAGTTAGATGCCAATTTGCACAGAATGTAGGTCGTTTACAGCTTCACTAAAATCAAGTATAAAAGTATATATACCCTGATTGAAAAAGGTGAGAATAACGAACAGTGATCCATCTCAAAACAAAAAGAAAAAAAAAGAAAAGACAAAAACAAAAATCTGTTAACAGGACAAATTAATAAAACACGGATCCCCTGGAAATTCCAGAGGTGGGATCAGATGCCTAGGCGAAGTAAGCATCATAAAAAAAAATGTCGCCCAATTTCATTAAATACCTGCTGTCTCCTGTCTTCTTCTTCCATGGCCTCAGCCCAGCTATAATCGAATTTCAATATTTCCAACTTTGTCTCCTGAAAAAAAAATAGTCGAAGTGGGAATTTGCTCAACATTTTCACCTAATACGCATTTACTTTTAGTAGTAATTTGTATCAGTTAATTAATATTATCTGATTGAATGGATATTGAGAGTGACAAAAAAACTTAATTTGATGTTTGTTTTGAAAATCACCAAGTTCTAACTAGGAATTTAATATTTTACTTTACAGGTAAAGTTTAAAACTCTTCGATTTTGTTTTCTCCTTTTTCAACGCTCCGTGATCGGTGGGCCGTGTGTTTGAATCACGGCTGCGACTGACCTAAGTCGATAAAAAAATAGCTAGCAACTATTCCTTCGCCAAGCGCTCGGCACTTTGAACTGAAAGTTGCGGGTCCTTCGGATGAGACCTTAAAAACCGAGGCCCCGTGTCACGGTAGGCGTTGGCACGATAAAGAACCCTCACTGCTCAATGGCCCTGAGTGTCGAGTAAAGGTCTAAATTTGAAACCCTTTACCGGTATATGGTGACGTCTCTACATGAGTGAAAAATTCTCGAACGGGACGTAAACAACATACAATCAATCATTCCTTCTTTTTCAGAAAGGGGGGGGGGTTAAAATAATTTAAGGATACAATATGGAAATACTTTTCATTAATTCATGAAATATTTTTAATCTTTTAATCATTACGCATGAAAAGTTAAATGTTGTAAGATTATTCATGTTTAAGTTGGGTCCTACCATCCCTTATTCGTAAGTGTAGAAAAGAAAAGAACAACTGCACATTGTGCATGCAGATCTACAAAACATATTTAGTCTTTTTTAGAATGTTATACAAATGTACCCTTTTTTTCTTTCTAACTAAAGAGGATTGTTACAGTGTGTGCTTTAAGGTAGATTTTTTGTGGCTTATCATAGAATATTTAGAACATAGACATCAATAACTCTTTAACACTTACCACATCCCGCACGGCCTCTTCACCAAAATCTAAAACCACATCCTTTTTGAGAACCTAAAAAAAAAAAAATAAAAATTAACAAATAAATAAATAAATAAATAATGTAAAACACTCTTACTTCTTTCTCTGGTGTTATTTTGTTGTAGCAATGATTTAGACCTCATCTTGTTTATACTTTGTGTGAATTCAATTGCGTTGTTTTAAGTTATTTTCTAAACGTTGTTATAGTTACAATTGTTTACGTAGAAATATTATTATAATGTTTTGGCGATTTCTTCTCATTGGAACAGTTTTACTATTATCACAGCTAAGGTTTCCTTTTGTAAAAGCAGTTCAAACTAATACAAATGCTTTAAAATTGCCCATTTTCATGAAATTATTCATTCAGTACGCTTCAGAAGTTGTGTGAATATGATGACATTTTCTTTATGAGGCCAAGATAAATAAATAGTGTGTTTCCTATTCCAACCTCAGAAAAAATAGGGTAGGTAGGCAGGGAAAACATTTTATTTTATTTTAATATTTTATAGGCAAGCATGCTACCATTTTTCCCCTGGGAAATCGCTGTTAAAACATTTCTGATTAATGTGTATAGGATATACATTTTCTGAAACACGGAAGTGATCGAGATTAGGATTTCTAATAGTGAAACTGGAATAGTTTACTCCTGGAAAGATATCTGCAGATAAATTTGTTAGGTTCGGCCCATATATTTTAGGGTCGGTCGAGGAACCGGAAACACACAATTTATTTATCTAGGCCTGACTAAACGAAAGATGCATTAAAATTGTTAAAATTGAAATTAACAGTAATTCATTTTTGAATTAGACGAAGAAAATTCGCAATATATTGAGATTCCTGGAAATTAATTAAATAGAGTTAGGGAGACAATCTTTTGGATAGTTGTTAAGTGATATAAAATACCTCTTGTCTTCTGTCCTCTTCTTCCATGGCATCAGCCCAACTGTAGCTGAATTTCAAAATTTTCAACTTTGTCTCCTGCAAATGGTCGAAATGAAAACCTTTTATTTATTTTCATGTGGATTATATAATATGCCCAAAATTTCCATCTTTGAAATAAAATTAATTTTTAATCAGCGATAATTTGTATCTGTACCTGTTAATTTAACATTTAACATCAATTAAATCTTAATTTATCAGGTGAAATAGATTAAGAATGAATAAAGCATAAATTAAATGCCCCCTCCCCGGAAACCTACAACTTCCGACTAGGAATTAAATATCTTATTTTTCAGGTAAAGCATAAAAATAATACTAATCGATTTTTCCCCCTTCAGAGGGGATGGTGGCGGTTAAAACACCAGAGGGATTCGAAATAGGGATATTGTTTACCAAAACATAGAAAATTTTCCATCTTTATGTCTGAACCATTGTTTACCAAAACATAGAAAATTTTCCATCATTATGTCTGAACCATTTGAATTCAGGGCTTTCATGCTAGATTCAATAAATGTTGGAAGGAAAATGTAATAATTTTGCAAACTTCATATCAACTTATTATTGTACTGAAAACATGAACAATCCTTTTTTTAAACGTCTTAACCGCCCCCCATCCTTTCACCCCCTCCCCCCCCCCAACGAAATGGGATTGCAACACTTTTTTCTATGGTAATTAGATACTGAAGATATTTGTAGGATTTTTTTTTAGGATCAGTCAAAGTTATAGAATGTTAAAAACATACACCCCAACCACTGTGTAACACTTACAACATCCTGCACGGCTTCTTCGCCAAAATCTAAAACCACGTCCATTTTGAAAATCTACAAAGCAAACAATAAATAAATAAAAGAAAAGTTAAATAGTTAATAGCTAAATAGTTAACATTTATACAAAAAAAAAAAAAAAATAGATATCAATCAACTCTATGAAAAGAATACATGTAAAATCCTACTTCTACTACTACTTCTAATCTTCGCTTTTCCTTGGTGATGTTTTGTTGTAGCAATGATTGTGACGTCACCCTTTTTGTTACGTTGCGTGGACTAAATTGTGACGTTAAAGTCACTCTAACTAGATCAAGTGTTTATGATTTTATAAGGAGAAATTTAAAGAAAGACGATTCTATAAATCTTTATTACATTATAAGCGAAGAAAAACCACATATATTGAGATTCTAAAGGAAATAACTACATGTATATATAGAGTTGGGGAGAAAATATGTATGTTACATGTATTTGTCAAACAGACACTATTGTCTACTTAATCACTTATCAAAGAATATCTGCTGATTTGGGGAATTAAGCATACAAACTCATCTCAGTCAATGTAAAATAGCCCTGTGAGTAGTTACATAATGATTGACAGCTGAAATATAACCCTTAAGTTAAGGAATTTGATTTACTCAAAGTTTGGTTAAGATCTCGGTGGTAGAGAAAATTGTTCAAGGAGTTAAACCTCAATTTTTGTTTAGCAATATTGCAGATTATAGTATGTTTTGCACGATCTCTTAATTTTCAGTGATCCCATATCAAATATTATTTGATAACTAATAATCAATTATAAAATTTGCTTTAGTTGATACAACTTTTATATGAGTCCTTTATGAAATTAAAATCAATAAATACATGTAGCTGTGTTTTGCACTCACCTTTTACGTCTTTCTTTGGTTGTAAAGGAGATGCTATTATTACGTCACTGTTCATTGTTACATCATTACATAAGCTATCGTCAAAGACCCGTTGGACGTCACTATCCATCATGTCCACATACAGAATTCGAACCTTGCAAAGTTTATAAAATGAATAAAAAGCGTCAATCTAGAAAATCAATGAATCTAGATAATTACAATATGTAACAAATTGAAATTTTCCTTGATTTTTAATTAAAAAGCTAAACTAAAAAAAAGTACTTTAGTCAGGCGCGGATCCAGGATTTTTTTTCCAGGGGAGGGGGGAGAGCATCCAAAAAATTTCCTACCCAGAAATTTCTTGGAATTTTCTTGACAATTTAAGCAAAGAAAAAAAAAAAACAAACAAACAAACAAACAAAAAAACAAAACAAAAAACAAACAACAACAACAACAACAAAAACAACCTAAAAGCCATTTCCCATATACGTGAAAAAAAAAAACTATTTCGTGGAGGTGATGGTGGGGTCCACGTTTTCTTGGGGGGGGGGGGTCCAAAGTCATTTTTTATTTGCTTCAGTATATACTTTTTATAACTCTACAAATTCCAGGGGGGGGGGGGACCCCTCCCCTTTGATCGCACATGTTTAGTGTCTATATCTCCTAAAATTTGCGCCGATTTCTTTCAAGCATACCTCACAATATGACACAAAAGGGAAAATTTGTATAATCATCTCTTGTTTTTTATCCAAAATGAAGCAGATGTTGAGATATAATAAATTGTATTCAAAATGTCTTTATATATCTCAGTTTGAACTATTTATATAAAAACATGCAGCGCTTACAATTGAAAATCTTGTAATACGCAAGGAATAATCAATAACGAAAGTCCATATTTAAAATAAAGCACCAAAATAATACATGACTTTTTCCTTTTTTTTTTTTGTTTTGAAAAAAGGTTGGAAATCATGCACTTCATTCCCTTTGAAGATTTTATGAATAAATAAAATATTTTTTGGCAGTGATATGGAACTAAAATTTTGTTAGCAAAAGGAAAACAAAAACAAAAAAAAAACCAACTAATTACAACAATTTTTTCACATTTTAACAAATTGACTTCACCGTCTTATTTTTACCACCCCCCTTTTTCCCCTCTTCTTCCGCTCACTGTGAATACATGACGTCATTCTCCAACCAAATCAATTTCAGTGATTTCCCTTTTGAATTTTCCGAACTATTTTCTGTTAAAGATCTTTCCATTGATCGATTGTTTTAATGTTCGTCCTGCCTGATATGCGCGATATTGATTGATAGATTTTCGTACGATAGAGACAGGCAATACCAGTCAAAAATTTCATTCGAGTATGAACTGCACTTCATTATAATAAAATCATTTAGATAATTTTGGTTAAAGGTGGTCTTTTTATTGAAAATGATGAAATCATATATTTATTTTTCCTTCACATATTATTTGAAGATTTAGCAATCTTTTTTTTTTTATCCTTTTGATAATATCAACTGAAGATACGTATCTGACGCAGTTGTATGATTGCTGGAATGTAAATGTGGCATTCCGATGTCGAGCCCAACATTTTCCATTTATGCCTTTTTCATTTTTTCCCTTTGTTTATATTTTCAACATTTTCTTTATTTTTATAATAAATATAATTTCAAAAAGTTTTAATAAACACGTTATACTTTTAAAATGTCTCGCAAAAAACAGCTCTAAATGATTTCAATGAATTTTGCAAAATTATAGCTATTTATTTTTCTGAGTCTTTTGTTTCGAAATTAAGAGTAATTTGCATGAAAAATAATTGTTATATGACATAGAACTTTGCACCTATGAAAACATAACACTCGTACACAAATGATATTATATATAGATTGATCTTGAAAAAGGTATATCTAGAAATAGAAACAGGTAATTTCCTTTTAAAATTTTTGAGTCGACCGTAGTCGTTTGATAAGCAGCTATGTCTCTTTTTACTATTTCTTAATTATCTCCCCTTACAAAGGGGCGTAACTTTCCTAATCGTTTGATCAAAATCCCTTCACCCAAGGATGTTTGTAGCAATTTTGGTTGACACTGAGCCAATGACACTAGAAAAGTAGAAAATGTGATAAGTTTACAGATGAACGCCAGACATTCTTCGATCAGAAATTCTCATTTGAGCCTTAGGCTCAGGTGAGCTAAAAATCAAATAATTAAAAAATCACATATTTATATTAATTTTAGCTTTCAGATGAGAGCATTGTGGCAATACTTAAATAGATGTAAAAGAGATTAACAATTTAATGCTGTTATTGGATCACTAAACCTGTGGTGATTTTTTTTCTCTGTTGACAATTTTGATACAGGTCTAAAGAAAGGTCACAAGTGAATTATAATAGCTCCAGTACCAACCATTCAGAAAATATGGCGAAGGTTAAATTTATTCAAAAAGAAGGTCATACTCAAAGGTCAGTGTCATTAAGGCAAACAAAAAATGGTATCAAAGGAAAATTCTTGTCAAAAGCAATGCATAAATGAAATATGAAAGCCATAGCAGCAACCGTTTAAAAGTTATAGGCAAGGCCATCTTTAAAAGCAAATGTTTGCTTGCTCTCTCCCGACACATGTGATTATTGTTTACTGCATTCTCGTGAACAATCATTCAATACGATTGGTCAGTATAGCTGTGTTCTGTATAGTCTGGTTCCCGCCCCCGCCACTCCGTTTTCACTTCGTTTTGGGGTCAGGTAAAAGCCGACGTCATTTAAAAATGGCGACCTCCATGTCATGAAAAAGGTTAGTCTGGTTCCCGCCCCCGCCACTCCGTTTTCACTTCGTTTTGGGGTCCCCAAAACGAAGTGAAAACGGAGTGGCGGGGGCGGGAACCAGACTAGGTTCTGTATTTCATATGCAAAGTAGTATTGCTTTCATTGAAATCAAACATCCAATCGATGAGTAATATGGTAATCAACATGTTAAACTTTATCACGCTCGATTAAGCAAATTGACACGCTGTTACTGGAATGATAGTATATTTCTATATAGTGTGTATGCAGTTAGGACACTTACTACGAATAAAATTGATAAAAACAATCCCGACAATATAGAAATACCTTATGTTTCAAGTAATACAAAAGAGGATTGTTGAATCACTGTATTAAATATACCAGGCAGTAGTTATAAATACTGAAGGCATTTGTGGATGTCCAAAAAATTTAAAATACTGATACCTATATAGTCGTTTAACTGGACTTCTACTAGTTTTTGGATGTCCATATAGTTTACAATTCTTATCACAAATATAAACATGATATATATATATTTTAAATATCTAGCTAGAAACTCTTTCTCTTGCCTGCATGCCAATGCATAGCTCCATATCAATACCCTTAGAAGGGAGGGGGGTAGGGGTGAGCCCCCCCCCCCCCCCGATAATTTTTCCGACATATATTAGAACTACAGAAAACATAGCTTCTTGATGCTTGTGCCCTATCAGTAATAATGTCTGATGACCTCCTTTTGGGGGGCTTGCCAAGGGGTTGCTCGGTAGTGCCCCCCCCCCCCTACGGACCAGTATCAAAGCCGATATAGCTGCAGCATAATTTAATTTTGCAAATTCAATGAGTATAAAAGATTTATAAAAGGAAAACTTACGACTATCAATTCCTCACTATAAGTAGTCAATTCAAATGTATGTTTGGCAGAAAATATTGTTAACTGTAAACAGATAGCCTAGACTCTGGTGCTTTTAGAAGGTGATATATATATTGTGGGCGACATTTGATAATTTTAGATTTTTTTTCCAATTTCTTATCTGATTAACATAGTTATCTTGAATGTTGACATATTTGTGTTGCATGATAATCTTGCATGTCGACATAATCTGTAGAAAAATAACTTGCATACACAGGACAGAAATGTGTCACCAAACAAATGCTTTTTTAAAATAAATACATGTAAAAGAAATTGCCAATTTTTTTTGAAGGTGGATTCTTCGGACTCGTACTATTTTTAAGGACATTGGAAAGTCAGGGTTTTCCGGAGAAAAAAAGGTTTAATACATGGTTTTTTTCACTTATAAAATAGTGATTGAGAGTGATCTCCCGTGTAGAATTCTCTAAGCGGTGAAAACCAACAAGTATAGCTTTTTTTCAAAAGCTTGCCGTCTTTAGCAACAACCTTAAACAGTAAACTGACATTCATCAATCAGGCCGTATTATTTTTTAGTTGTTCTTTGTATTTCGTCAACAGTTTTGTTACAGACAAACTTTTTTTCTGCCCTTGATCATCTTGAAAATAAATAATCTCTCCTTGACTGGCATGAAAATAAATACTTTGACTCGAAAAATTTTGCCAGCCCCAGCCCCCCCCCCCTTTTTCAGAATCAAATGGCCGTCGCCCTACCGCAGAAAAGACAGTGCAAAAACAAAGTAAGAAAAAAGGATTAATACAAATTTTAATGTTTGCACTCAATTTCTGTTAACCATTAAAATTTAAGAAAAACACTTTTTTGCAATTTTTTTTATTCGTTTTGTCGATTTTTTTTAAGATTGAAAATCTAGAAAAACTGTTAAGTCGTACGAAAATTAGATCACCAGAAAATTATCTCCCTTGCCGTGAAAAGCATTTCAACCAATGAAAAAATTGAAAATTTTCACTTCATGTATTTTCTACCAATCACAAAAGAGAGGATGTGCAAAGTCCGAAGACTGTAAAATACTTCAACTCTGTATACCGTCTTCCAAGGAAGACGGTAATAAAGCGTATGTTAATACAGAGTTAAACTTGCTTCAACGGGTAGAATCATCTATACAGCAAGAAAGAAAAGTAGTAATGGCTTTGTTGTACATTGTATTTAGGGACAAAGAGCCAACAGGTTGTCATTTACCATAGTTATGCTCAGTATGCTGGGAAGGGCAAAGACGTGACATATGCTGAAAGATAGGTCGACCATGCCGATTGAGAACAGTTCTTAGGTCGATGAAGAAATCAGCATTTAGTAACTACCAATAAAAGTTAAAAATAAATCCATGCCAATATTTGTATGACAATATGTTTCTATCAATTCTGTCGTATCCCT